TGGTTCAATACAAATCTGGTGAGTTTGTTTATTTTAATTTTGATTTAGTTAGGGACAGTTTAAAATGAAATAATTTTGTAATTTATTTGTCCTGAAGTTCACAGAACAAATGAAGTACAAGTGAGTCCTAACCCTAATTATGCCCTAACATAAGTTAGCAAGTTTTCCACCGTGTGTTCTATACAGTGTAATTGTTTCTTATAGTAATGAAAAAGAGAGTTTGCTAAATAATGAAGAGCTTCTTGATCTTGTGATTATTTCCTTTATTCTCATGACCTTAATGATTGATTGAAGTGTGACACTGCTGGGAGAAATAAGATGCTTATTACTCTCACGGGCTCTTGATTTTCTCAATTTCTTTTTATGTCATGGTGGATGATAGTCATCTTTAACCGCCGCCCAGTTAGCCCAATGGATATAGTGTGCTGGAATGTTTTGTGGGAGGTCGAGGGTTCGAGCCCTGGCCGGACCAACACTCAAGGTCTTAAAATAATTGAGAAGAATTTGTTACCTTTCTATAACATCAAGAAATGGTTAGATATTCTAGTCTTCTCGGATATGGATGAATAAATGGAGGTCCCGTCTCCTTCAGGGTTGGGGTAGGAGACACTAATTTCCCACACATGAGATTACTGTGTGATGGATGTCCTCCCCTTGGCTGGGATGGTGGGTTTGTTGTGAAGGCCGTAAGTTAGATAACTCATTGGGTTAATTACATCACCTTCATTAAATAAAGAATATTGTATTGTTTTGTATTGTATTGTATTGTATTGTATCTTTCATTTTGAAAGCATGCAGGGTAAACTTGACCAGAGGAAAAAAATTATAATGACCATTCAGTGATTGAGTACAATATTATTTTGAACGCTGACTTGTGTTCACTCATTAGACACATGGACTTGTGGCATGATAGCTACTGACTGGTTCTGGAGTTCTTCTATTGTGAAATTTCTATTTAATTTATAGCATGAATATGAGTGATTATAACTGTCACCTTTTTTTTTATAATTCTTAGAGCATAGAAAGGAAGCTGTTGAGCTACAGTTTACTGAGACTACAAGAGATCTGCAGTCATTGCACATGAATCCCGACAATGTGGATGGAGGTCAGTACCACCAGTGTGAGAGTGAGAAGATGAGTATTCAGGAGACCAGCCAGTTCCCCAGCTCATACAAATGCGGAGACATCTCTCGCAAGAACATGGCAGTGATTAATCTACCTCTTAAAGAGTACAGCAAAGTTTGCATGATGCTCAACGTCAAGCGGGATCTGAAATTTGATGACTTCAGGATGCTTGCTGAGAAAGTTGGATTCGACAGGGATGAGATACGAATGATTGAACAAGGTGAAAATCCCACCGATGCAATTCTGCAAACTTGGTCATCAAAGAGAGGAGCAACTGTTGGAAAATTGATTGAACTGTTGAAAGGCGAGGACCTGGAGAGAATGGATGTTGCAAAGGTGCTTGAAGAATGGGTAAATGATCCTTGTTGGTAAACATTTAGGACACATCTCTTCCATGAGACAGATTTGAATGTACTTGTGGTGGAAGAGCAATCTTATTGTTAGTCTAAGTTTTATCATTAAAAGTTTTCAAGAAATCTGTAGACTTGGAGAATGTTCTAGTTTTTTTATGTTAGAACTTCTCTTTTGACTCCAGTCAAATAATGGAGACCCTTAGATTCGACGACTTCGAGGAAGAGTGCGAGTTTTGGCCGCGCAGAGGCTAGCACTATTGACTGGCACTCGTGGTCGCTCTCGTCAAATCGCAACATTTAGATGTCACAATGAGTGCGAGTTTTTTGTTTACTTAGTTTCATTCGCAGTGTTAGGTCTCCTATGCCTGTTTTTACCTTCAAAAAAATACCCTTTTTGCCAAGGACATCACAGATTAGGTTATCTCTAAGCTGTTCATAAAAACTAAGGTTAAATAATTATGTAAAACTCACCTTTGCAAACTCGTCGTAGAGAGAACGACTTCTGCCAGAAATCTCGTAGTCGACGACAAGCTGGCGACAAGTTGACCAATTTGCATGACGGCGTGATGGCTAGTGCGCATGCTCAGAATGCGCGCGTGGAAAATCTTGTACTCGTCCTCGAAGTTGTCGTCAAATCTAAAGGTCTCTAATGGTTTACAAAGTCCACTTATGACCTTTTCTCAGGTCTTGATATTGATGTATAATATTGATAGCTTATTATCCAGCTCTTTGTACAGTGCATGTCCTTTCAAAGATCACTTAAGTGATAAAACTATTAACAACTAGCCTTGATGGCTGATTGCTGGTCACATAAACCTCAATTTGATTTTTCTTCTGGTATGTACAACAAAAAAGTATCTAGAGAGAGGTTGCAGCCAGTTTGTGTTTCAATGAAATCATCTGAATAATATTTTTAAAGACATGTTAGCTCAATGGATAGAGCGCTGGACTGTTGTGTGGGAGGTCAAGGGTTCGAGCCCCGGCCGGACCAACACTCAGGGTCTTAAAATAATTGAGAAGAATTTGCTGCCTTTCTATAACATCAAGAAATGGTTAGATATTCTAGTCTTCTCGGATATGGATGAATAAATGGAGGTCCCGTCTCCTTCAGNCCGCAGTTCAAAATATATGAACTTCATATATTCCTTGTATCTCAGTCTATTTTATATTAACCTATTTATTCTTTCATAATTAATTTTACACCATTTGTTTAGGCTATTTTAATTATCTTTTTTGCATTGTATGGCTGTTTACAATGACTTTAACCAAGCAAAAAAATTCTGAGGGAAAGAATTTAAATTACTTAGTGGGGAGATAATTATTGGTTATGTAGAAGAAGTGATCAAGTTTACATGTATGCTATTGTTTTTTTTTTGTTTTTATTTTATCTATTTTTTTTTTTTTTCTTTTTGCTGCCTTGCTGCCTCAACTTGATGCAGTTGACCAAGGTTTTCTGCTGCATGTTAAAATAATTATCAATGTTATCTTGAAAATACTCAGGAATAATTTTGTAATTTACAATTGTTTTGCATGATATTAGTAATTGCACTTTAATGTAATAGGAATTCTTAATCAAAAAATAGGTGGTTCTCTACATGTATTTTTGCTGAATTAATTCTCTAGCAGATCTGCTGAGAAAATAAACTGTGTAAAAAACATGATTCTTGATATCATGTAGCCATCAACAACAATGATACCCTTGTAAATTAGTGTGCATTAGTGTCTCAAAAGTAAATTTATATTAGGATTCTCCTTAATAAGGTAACATCCGCATCAATTCCCTAGATTTCAAATTTTCTGGCATGCCTAAGGCCATTAAACCTTCCTAGGTTATATTTAATTTAGTGTCTCAAAAGTAAATTCAAGTCAAGATTCTCCTGAATGTGGTAACATCCACATCAGTTTGCTATTTTCCAAATTTGCCTGCATGCCTTTGGGCTGTCAACCCTTTACACCCAACATTAGTGTTCACTGACAGGTTAGCAAAAGGTCACCGACTGTTGACCAACAGTCAGCCAAAACTTTGGCCTGAAACGTAATGAAAACTGTCAGTTGGCCAACAGTCAACCCATAGTTGGCCAACAGTTGGCTGACAGGCAGCCAACAGTTGGCCAAAACTTTGGCATGAAACTTAACAAAAACTGTCAGTTGGCAGTTGGCCAACAGTCAGCCAACTGTGGGTTGTCTGTCAGCCAACTGTCAACCCACAGTTGGCCAACAGTCTGCCAGCCAACTGTTGACCAACAGTTGGCTGACAGTTGGCAGACAATATTTTGTGGGAACTGTTTTTCACTTTTACCAATCTCTCTACTTTTCCTGTAGTACTGATAAGGAGAATATGATTGACAATCAGGAGCTTCTTAGATTGGCGATCATTGTAATCAATCTCATGACCTTTACATTTGATTCAAGGGGGGTATTGTAAGGAGACATTACTGTTACATGTAGCAGTTATGAGAGAAAAAAAGGTAGTCCTTTTGCTTTGAATTTGTATCACTCGGTCATAGTTCAAAGTTATTTGGCACAGTAGGTTATGCTGTAACTATTGGTAATGAGCTTCCATAATATTGTAAATTCAAAGAACAAGAACTTTACCTCAACAATAAGTAAGTGTTGCGATTTGCTGAAACAATTGAAAAGCATTATGCCTTCACTGTTTTAACATGATGACCCTTCTCAAACTAGCCGTAAATGAATGTTTCTTGTTTTCCTTTTAAATTTTGTATCAAAGCACTTATGAAAACCAATAAAGGCTGAATATGACAATCTTGACTCTCCATATATACTTCCCCGTAAATTAAAGTCAAAAGCTAAAGCAGGTTCCTTGAAATAATTGTAAGAGAAAAAGAAAGCCAGGTCTAAGAAAGTGGGTTGTAGATATCATTCCCTTTTAGTAACCCCAACCAACAAGAGGCTTAAATTGTTTTAAGTTAGGTTTATTTATCAATGACAACTTTTTGAACCAATCATCACTCTTTTACTGTCATTGTAAGACTGAGTTCATAACCTGAGCTTAACTAGTACTTGATAATTAACTGGAGTGAGCAAACTCACTTGGCCATAAAAGTAACTCGGAGCAAATGAAAAATAAAATTGACAAAAACTACAGAAGGAACCTTTTTACTTTTAGCTTTGCAATAATTATAATTAATGTGAAATGATAGATATTTTATGTAAAGAATGCTATACTAGACCAACAACCTGCCATTACATCTTATCTAACTTATGAAAAGCAAAATTGGTAATATTTTGAAAAATCTTGGCTTCAGCTTACAGCATAAATTTCAGAATGTTAGACCTAAGCTACAATGTCAGTCAACACAAAGATTTAATGGGACAAAATGCTGTGTCAAAAACTATCTCTGAAAATTGGAGCTTTTCAAAGAAACAAACTGATGGATTACCATTATATCTATCACCCATACACAATATCTAGTGGTACACTTTAAGTTCGAGGAGGATGTGACTAAATCATGGTAAACATTTTTTCAACGAGGTTTTCACACTGATCTTTCCAGTTGAATTGTCCAGTGTACTCCTTTCTTAAAGTCTCTGCTTCTATGCTGCGCCCCTTTACATCCTTTGCTTTGACTTCCTTGATCTTGTCAGCCCAGACCTGGGGATCATCGGACTCCACAACATGGTTTGCTCCTGAGGGTAACTTCTTCAGAGCTGCACCAAGGCCAATATTTCCACTGACCAGTACAGGAAGGTCAGCTGAAATGGCACGGACACCGCTTATTCCAAAACCTTCTGTTCTAGATGGTTTTATGACAAGGTCTACTTCACGGAGAATATTGATCCAATCTTCACTGCTTTTTGCCACTTTAACAGTGAGTTGGTCAGGATTAATGCCCTCCTGGAGCAAGGCTTGGGTCATCTCTGCAACATTCTCACTAGGCTTCACAACAAACACCAGGTGGATGGAAGGTGTGCCTGTTAGATTGATTGCTTTAGCAGCAATATCACATCCTTTGATCTTGTAATATTTGGATGAACCACTGATCAATATGTGAAACACTTCTCTGTCCTCTTGAGGGGGTCGCACACCAACAAGGTTGACGAATATTCCTGGTGTTAGGTCAATGACTTCTTTCTGTATTCCACCAAGTTGGAAAGCTGATCTGTAGGCTTCGGCCACTTTGGGTCCAATTGCTATCACAATATCAGCTTGTTTGCACAATGTAAGTTGCAACTCATGTTCAGATTTATGCTCAGGTGCAAATGGCACAAGTTCCTCACTCACGGTGTGCAGAACATGAAGCCACTTGCAATTCTTGGTCTCCTTGATAATCTGTGCTTGTCGACCCACTTCGTGTCCATAAGACTGCATCATCAAGACATCGATCTTGAGACTGTCAGGTGGATAAGCCAGCAGGTCTGCTGATGAATGCTCTGAGACATCCTTTGCATCAACAAGCTCAATGCCTAACTTCTGGGCTGCATCTCTTTGCTGTTGAGTGTTTTTAGGTACAAATCCAGTTACCTTCACTTTTGGGTTGCTGGCAAGCTCAAGAAGTAACTGGCCATTCACAGCTTTGTCCCAGCCCACATTACTGGCAACCAGGGTGACATTCAGTTTCTGTGTATCTCCTGAAAGTAACATTTTAAACAGTTTTCTTGAATTATACAACAATAAAAGTGATATTTTAGGTTGGGATAGGTTAAGATATTAGTGATAATTTTATGATTATAACTGAGTTACAAAGAGCTGTGTTTTTCAGCAGTACAAAAATTCCCTCCTAAGAAATATCAAATGCGATTTGAACAATCTAAATTGAGTGTGGAGAGGTTTAGCAAGATAATTATGAGGGGACATTCATAATACATACTTTTGAATATTATGAGAGTTCAGTAACTCTTGTAAGACTCAGTGCCCAATTCTACTTGTAGAGGGAAGGTAAAAGTCATTTCTGCTGTAACCCTAATTATAAGAGCAGAGAATTGACCATAATTATTAATTACACTAGAGCAGATCCCACCACTCATGGAGTAAACATGATGTTAACCCTTATTGAATGTGATTTTAGATATGAACAACTGTACTTTGAGAATTCCATTAATCTGTGCTGTGTTCGACGAACCTACAATATTCCCTCCCACTTCCGTCTTCAAAGTGAAACTGCTGACGAATCATATTCGTGCGCACTTCGATCAAGATTAACGCGCCTTATATTATAAATTAAAGCAAGTGGTTTTCTCACAAATAGCAGTGGAAATTTTTATTGATTGAACATAAAAGTGAACGATAGACGCTATTAATCTCAATACTTCAGGACACACATATTCAAAGCTTGAATCATTTTGGAAAAATTAAACTCTGGGCTGATTTTAGCGTGCACGCGAACACTGAAGGAGCTGCGCCTGTTTGCACTTCCAATCTGACTGAATGCTGCAGTACACGAAATCAGAAGAAAAAAAGAAAGAATGAAAATATTAGTCTTACCTTTAACACCTGACATTTTGTATCATCTGGTAGCCAAGCGGAAAAGAGATGTGAAATCGAGAATTTTACGGGCTTCTCTGACAAGCTCCACTCTCAAAATGATCTGCCCGAGAGAGCACTGGAGCTAGACTTGTCATTTGATCTCCCCTTTCACTTCCTTAATAATTTCTGCGAAAGAGAAACCCTGGGGGTTATGTGGAGCTTCACTGTGGCGTCGAAGCGACACTAGAGGTCGATCCGAGACAGGGATGCAGAGAAAAGAAGACATAAACGAGTGCATTGTGTTAAATTGCAGGTGACTATTTACAAATTTAAATTCTTCCAGAACTGATTCAGTTTGTAATACATCTACATCAAACAAAACATCGAAACCGAAAGTAGAAAATTAACCAAGAAACGAAAGTGTCAGTTTTCCTTTTGATTAGGCAATGCGCGTAGTAATTATTCAATTGCTATTTCTCTGTTGGTCAACACATTTTGTCTATTGTATGTTTCGTTTAAATGATTCTCCAAATGAATCACGAATGAGTGAGATTTTAGCGTATCGTCACTTTCATCATCTGGCGAAATTTTGACGACCAAATTTGAAGTTTCTGTAGGTTCAAAATTAATGTAGCTTGGTGAGCTGAGGAAACGTTGGCAAACCACGAATTTACTCACCCAGATGCATGCCTTGAGTAGTTCATGCAGACGTGATGTTCATCTAGTAACTTGATCTCTGCATGGTTAAGGTCTTAATCAATGCTGCCGTGTGAATTCAGAAAAACAAAATTTTATCTTTGTTTTCATTCTGCTTTTTGTCAGGTATTTAATGTAGAGCATCCAATCACGGCCTGAGTCTTGTACATGATAACCTGATCACATTATAATGTAATGGAATCAAGGCTGAATGGTCCAGCTTCAAACTCTGTTTTTTCGGAAAGACACTTTCCTCTAATACTATTTCTACCTATGCAAAGTTATGGGTATTAGAAAACTGCCAGGGAAACCAGACTGAAATGATATTGAGAGGTTTCCCAGGAGTTTCCCAGGGGTGGATCTAGGGGTGGATCTAGGGGAGGGGTGCAGGAGGTGTGCCCCTCCTAGCCTGAGATGATTTGTGCTTTCTTATAATTAACTGGTGTAGTTTATTGGTGTTCAAACATGAGATGGGGTTGAATGAGTTATGTTAAACACCATCAAAATTCTATTAATTCTCAGCATTTCATTTTATGTTATTGCCTATAAGTTATAAGCTTTCTTCTCAGTTACTGTGGATTATGACGCAGTTCGCTATGTAGAAATGGAGCTCTTTTATTAAACTCTAGAATACAATCCTCAGTCCGACCTCGTGCTGCCACTGCTCGTGTCCATGTTACATCACAACACTACATATCTCCTCTCTTATGGAAAACAAAACAGTAGTTATAACTATAACAACAACATTTGCATAACTTCTAAAGTTCATAAGTAAAGTTCACAAGTGCAAAAAATCAATGTTCTAAATGTCCCAGTAAACAACCTATAGCTCATAGTCCTTTAAATGTGTTGGAAGTCTTCTGATGCGTGAAGATCTTCTTGGCTGACAAGACGATTCATCAGCATGCACAACTGGTGTCGGTAAGTCCCCTTGAATTTCATCATCACAGTCATTTACATTCGAAGACACTGGAGTATTTGAAGGAACCTTCTTGAAGAATGAGCTGTTTCTTGTCACTGAGTGGTCTGCATTTTGAGGAGTAACCATGCTTCCTTTCTTTTGTGTTATCTCCAATGGTTCTGGACAAAAAGGGGTTGAAAGCTTAATTGTTGTGTTTAGGTTGCTTAATGAGAACTCTATCTCCAACCTCAAAATCAGAGTGCTTAGCATGATTGTGTTTATCTGCATAAGCTTTCATCATCTCCTTCTTGTTGGCATCTGTCTGTCTGACATCATAGTATGGTGATTGTTCCTGCTTGTGGATGGGTAGTCTGGATTTTAATTTCCTACCATTCAGAAGCTCTGCGAGTGATCTAGCAGTTGTACTATGGGGGTTGCTCTGTACTGGCACAGGAAAGTAAAAAGCTCTTGCTTCCAACTCTTATGTTCAATAACTGCTATCCTTATAGCTTTCTCCAGAGTTCTCATCAATCTCTCTACCTCTCCATTGGCTTTAGGCCATGCTGGAGTCACCTTACGATGCAATTGACTATTAATAACACCTCAATTGAAGTAGTAGAAAGTCAAAAGCTCCTAGGAGTGCTCATTCAGGATGATCTAAAATGGCGTAGTCACATTCTTAGCATTACAAAGAAAGCTGCTCAGTGACTTTATATACTTCTTGTCAGTGTGCCACAATGGCCTTCCACCCTAGGATTTACTTAGTGTCTATACTGCTCTAATACGTTCTGTTTTGGAATACGCATGCCAGGTATGGCATTCTAGCCTTCCATCTTACCTTGTGGACAATTTAGAACAGATACAAAGAAGAGCTTTCAGGATGATCGAACCACTAATTTCTTACAGAACTGCATGTAATGTTTTGAATTACCCCACACTGGAAGAAAATAGGGAACGTCTTTGCCTCGAACAGTTCAAGAAAATTAAAAACTCACAGTTGTCATCATTAATTCCACAGAAAAGACTAGACGCACACGGCCGTCAGCTGCGCTCCAGCAATAACTTGACTCTTTTTAAATGTAGGACAAAACGATTTCAAATAAGTTTTTTTCCCGCAATGACGTCAAAGCTTAATGAATTATCGCAATAGACTTATATCACATTTGTAATAATTTGTTAATAGAATCTTGTGAGCCGGTAACCCAGTCCCCCGGCAAAATTTTTATTTATACAGTCTCATTTAATTTGTAAATATTTTTTGTAATTTCTTGTAAATATGAAGTATTTCATTTTAGTGCCGAATTCATATCTAATAAACCATTACCATTACCATTACCAGAACTCCATCTTGGAAATCTAAATTAT